GTAAAATACATAACAATGTTGATTTGTTTCATTTTTCAGAGGATGTTAGCGAGGGCGACTGTTCGTCAGTGACACCTGAGTCCAGTATACACACGGAGGGACCGGCTCCACCTGCCTCAGTCTCTGAAATAACTTTGGCCTCTGTCCAGGGCGGCCCTGCAAATTACACCCAGGACTTCACTTCAGCATCACAGTCACCTACAAGTCAACTGCATGTAATGGATTTTGTATTTTTAACTTTTTGTATTTTATTGTTTCAACTATTTGCTTTGATACTCACTGTAGTTTTTTGGGTTTCAAAATGAACACACATCTGTGTACGGGAGAAAGAATCTTATAGCTGCGTTTTTTCCTTGAGGATTAGGAAAAGGGTTCACTAAGCCTTACTTAATTTACTGTGACTGTAAAATATTAATGTAAGCATACCATCTGTTGACTGTGATGTCATGTGACATGTCCTGAAGTAGTGTTCCTGTCTTCCCATCTAGTCTAATGCTCCTGAAGGCAGCCACAGCCCTGCTGCATCTCCTTCAGAGGGCAGCAGTAAAACAAAGATGCAGCTCCGCTCCACCTCCCGGACACTTATCCGCCCCTGCACTCAGCCCACCGACCCTCCAATGGCCACACAGTCTGGTGAGTTACTAGTGTGCAAAACCCACGCTGAGATTATAACGCTTTTGGAGTGTGAAATTCTTCCCGACAGTTTTTAGAGACGAAAGGATGGGTAAAGCAGACAGCTGACATAATGCAGCTATATTGCTGGCGCTGTGTAGGCAGGAAGAATGTGATGATGCCAGAAATGCATTATGCAACCACTTCCCTGCTCCCTAACAAGCTTAACTGTGCGATAGGAGACGGGAACTCTTTGCATTGCACTTTATCGTACCAGTGCAAACTGTTGTGCTGGCCTCGTGTTGTAGCTGAGTGTGCTTTATTCATTTCCAGGTCACTTTTTTAAATGTTTTCAATACTCTTTTTGTTCAGTGTGTTTATGGAAATGAACTTTACACATTCCCGGTAAAGAAAATGTACAGTAATCCCCGAAGAAATGTGTTAGTGTTTGAGTGGGCTAAAGGTTGGATTACCCATTGCTAATCAGAGGTCTGGCACCATTTTCACATTGTAGTTGTGATTTGTCGTGTACATTTTTCTTTAGAAACCATTTCAGACCAGAGTGACATAGAGAGCCGTATCAAGGCGCTCAAGGAAGAACTCAAGAAACGTAAGTTAATGGCCTCCCAGCTAAAGAAGGAGCAGAAGAAGCGACATAAGGAGCGGCTGAAGGCAGAGGAGGCGAGTCTATTGAAACAGCTGGAGGTAAACATGATGTGTAAACTACATTTAACCCTTT